ACCCTTCCCACACAGTTTGGTAACCGGAATAGATTTGTGCATGTGTTTGTGTTTGTGCTGTTTGTGGCGCTGACGACCACATCCACAGACAGCACAGCACGATTACGAGATCGGTGATGGCGGTGGTGGAGATAAAGATGGCGGCGGTAATCGCGGTATTGATGGTGGCGATGGTATTCATGATGTCGGCGATGGTGGAGGTGTGTTGGTCGTCGTGATAATAGCACCGGTCCTGTCTCGCCGTAGCTAATCTGTCACCCAAGTGTGTACCCTCGTTTCTGGTGCGGTTCTTGAGGTGCGGGGTCGACCCATTTTGTCACCCATCCCCTGTCCCGGCATATTTTCAAGAATATAGTGCTGCCTCCCCCTTCCGTCGCTATTAGCTCGCTCTTCGTTGCTACTACCACCACTGCTGCTGCTGCTGCTGCTGCCTGTCCGACTCGTTTGGTCATTCGCTCCAAGCCTGGTCGCATTCGGTTGGAAGGAATGAGTTTGTCGGACCTTGTAGACTTGGAATATAATAGTCTCTGATTTGCGCGAGTGAGTGTATGCCCATACACTTTACCGATCCACACACTTTTTTGTGACCATATTCATTTTGTTTAACAAAAAAGAAAGAAATCATTTGGACAACCCATGAGGGATAAATTGGTGACTGTGTCAGCCTACAGTTTACTCGCATTGTAAGATAAACACACACAACTGGACAGCAAGGTTGATCACATGACCTCCAGTGAAACATGTACACATGTACGCACACAAAACACGCACACGTACACCAACTTTCGTCTTGATGCAACTCCACATGTACAATCGCATTTGAGATTTTCGGTGCTTTAAAACAGATCGGATCTGTCTACACACCCACACAAAACATTTATTCTGTGATCGTCAACACCCAAACCTATGCGAGGATTCACGACCCTCGTATCTATGAGCTCGCACAAATTTTCAGATTGATTCACATAGTTTTCAGTTTTCCATGATCGAGACAACAATACTCCCAGTGAGAAAATCAACATTGGCAGCAGCAGCAGTAGTAGTACCCTCATCATTGGCGTTGACTTTTTCACCGGCAGCATCAACAACCTCACCAGTCATAGCAACAGTAACACAATCAGTTGCACGATACAATTCCCGGCCTAAATCACTTGTGTTCACTCAGACCAAACGGATTCGTGGATTGTTTCACTGCGGTGTCGTGTTCCTCGTTCGGCTACTCCTAGTGACCAGTCTCATTCCATCTGTGCACGGATGTTTGAAATCATCTATCTACTACCGATCGAAAGTGCGAACTCGATCGCATGTGTTCGCTCCGGGGGAATATCAGCCACGACAATGGGAACATACGGCCGAGGCCAGTGGGCCATTGGATGTGCGAGACTTTCAGCATACTGTGCCTAGTAAACGCTTGGTCCGGGTCACTTCACCGCATATTGTGTTTGATTCGGAAGAGGCCAGATGGATGACTAAAGTGAGTGCTAATACTACTACTACTTCTACTACTGGTGATATTGTTGAAGTTTCTAGTATTGCTATTCATAGGATCAGATAGAACTGGCACTTCGGGTATCCTTTGTTAACATTACAGTTTCCTTCCGGTCTAGTTTCCCAGTCATTTGATTCAACTAAAACGTGAAACCATTTAACTATTAAGCACAGTCAATCGATGCATGTTCCTGCCTCGCATCCAATCCAACCTGACGTAAGACTCAAACTAGTTTCATCCATTATTTTGAAAACCGGAATGATGGTTTGTTTCCCGGACTTTCTACCTGGTGTGTTTCATTTTATTTAGGGAGGCCAGAATATGTGAGACAGAGTGGCAAAATAAAAACACTAAAGAGGCTTCGGAGAGCGATAATAATATTAATAATCGTTTGAATTTTTCCTAATAAATGCAGCTGGAAAATCAAATTTCGGGAACGAAACGTCTGCAGGGGTTCAGAAACTGTCCGCAGTCATATGGCGTTCATCATGTGTTAAAAACAGATGCTAAGAGAGCCGGCTGTCTAACAACAAGAGTGATACGCTTCTTATCCAGAAATTTCTAGATAAATACAATCGATTATCAACTCTCTCGTTGTGGCTAATCCAAACATTCCTATAAGAATCTAATCTTTATGGGTGATCCCGTCTACATCCCGATCATAACGAGTGCCTTTATGTCGATCAGTTGTTGGGTATAGGAGTCAGTTCGGAAAGAATAGCTCATTCACCACTCCGAGCCTGGTAAGCTATCCTGATGGCTGAATAATACTGGATGAAGGATAATTTTGGATAGGAAGAGGAACAAGAACTGAGAACGATTCCGGTTTATTGCGTATGAGCCTGAGAAAGAACTAGACGGAACACGGAAGTTAGCGTGGGTGAATTCGACCAGGATTAGTTGGCTAAAACGGCTGGTTAAGTGTATTCAGTTCATGTAATGAGAAAATGATACTAGAAAGTGCATGCTAAGCAAGAGTATAAAGACAATTAGAGTTCTGTCTGGAGCGGAAACCAAAAATAAAATGTACCGCTGATACCGATTTAGACGATCATAAATGATGAATCTCTCTTTTTCCTTCATGGCAGTGATTGCATTCCAGGGCATTGTTTAATCCTGTGGAACGCGTGTGGGATTAGATTTTCCATTGATTAGTTGTATGGTAACTGCCACATGGATGCAAAAAGATCACCCAAAACAAATTTTAGCAATACCGGTTATTTGCAGACAGAAAAATGAGGAAGGGGGGAATAAAAATGTTTATTTAAATAGAGGATCCTTTTTCCCCTGAACTGTTGCCACGGTTAGCCTTATTTCTAATTTCACGATCATGCATCATTGATAAAAAAAAATGGCATTCAGCTTCTGGGATCTCTTTATGGAATGAATTATTTCTGCTAAACCGACCAAGCTTCACCGAATTGTTATAAATCAGTTCAGAAATCCGGTATACAAATAGTTTGCTTCTTTTTCGAGGGCATATCACCTATTTATAGACTTTCGAAGTTGACGGTGAATGCAAGCTTACACCCATAATCTGAATGAAATCAGTATTGATTAAAAAGTTTGAATCATTCAGGGCTAATTATGGCCCAACTAATCGCAGATGGCTGATCACTGAAATTTGTCTGAATAATTTTGTCCCCCATCACGCTGATACATAAATATATATGTCATAGCGCTATTAAAATACACATGTATACATACATTTATGTAGTAGTAATTGGTTGTCCCCAGCCATGGGATAAGGTTTCATTAGCTCACGCGGCCGATAACTGGGCATTCATGCAAAGCATTGCGTTTCTGCGTTATTTCGCCAGCTGTCGTTCAAATATTGTGCAACTTTAAGAGTCGGTTTGTCAGGACTGAATCGAAATCGGCGAGATTTGTCTGTTCACTGTGTAGCAGTTTAATTTAGCTGAACGAATCGGTCCAAGATCTTTCTGTTCATCATCACCAAGAACCGTTTATATAAGTCAGTCAGTCTCGCGGAGCCGATTTTTCCAAGCGGACTTTGCACAACACTATGGAGTCTGCTTTCGTTACTTGATTTAATCGGACAATGTCCCGTCAAAAATCGCAGATGATTAATGAACTGAGTGTGCAATTCATTTTTACTGCTGAGCATTGGTCCCAATCTTTGCACAGGTGTCAACAATGGATGTGATCCAGAGGGACTGGATTGCATGTTGTCTGTTTTAACAGAATGTTTCGGTATACACTTTGTGCACATCGATTTTCGCATTTCAATAACCGTATCTTGATCAATTATGGGGGAGAAAAACGGGGACATGGGAGAGGG